CTGTCCCGCAAGTCGCATTCTAGGCTGCGGACATTTGGCCCGCTCTTTGTGTGTGCCTTTGCCATGCTGGCAACTGGGCTACAAGAAGTTTTGACCATTGCATAACGGCTTAGAAAGAGGTCAGCATGAACAAATGCCCCCAGGACCTTGTGTTTATGAGATTTTGCGGCATCAATGTCTGCTGCAAACATGGTTTGGCCAAGGCTGGCATAGTGGCATGTTGTGGGATATGCTCCGTGGGCTGCTGGTGTCGCATAGAGCGAGGCGAGGTAAAGGCCACACCGACTCTGAGAGAGTGCAGTTGTGTTGCAACAAGCTGAAACTTTGCTTATGCACGGTGTCCCTCAGCCGGCATTCACAAAAGCGAAGCTCAGTTCTGCAAGAGAGGACGAAGCAGGTTGGACTAAGACGTATCTAGGTCCTCACTGGTGAACTTCAACCTCTAGCTATTCCAAAAGCTATTGTTTCTGAGATGAGCGTTTGCTTTAAATAACCGACACGCTAAAAGCCAGGTTCTTGTTGAGCTAGCAGCGGTGAGCAGTTGCAAGCCTATCATGCCCGATGCCACCGTAGGACGGACAGGACATTGCATTGTGCCTGCTCTCCAAGCCTTGCAATTGTTGAGAACATTTGCACGCCTCATGGTAAAGATGGACAGTCGGAGAATGATAGCCAGGAGTTTGTCTCTTTACCCCTTGCTGGATGGTTTTTTACAGAGGTCAATGCGAAACGGGTTTGCTCGCCTGGCAATGCGACAGAAAGAAAGCAAAGGATGGATGGGATGTACCCGACCTTTCTCTCTGCATCCCTCCTTGAGTGGCAATGTCAGAGCTGACCTTGGAAATCCGACTCGCATTGGGGAAAGGGTCCAGATCAGACAGGGTTAAAACCTCGACCACTTCCGCCACTGGAACACGTCTGGTTGCATCACTCGTGCTCGGAAAGTTGAGCACTTGATTTGGGGTTTAGGCTTGAGATGGGTTGAGGGTGTTGGTCGCGGATCTGGGCTCAGGCTGCCGGTGTCTGAAGTCAGTTCAAGTCGGCAAGAATCTGACCGAAATGAAGTCGTGCCGACGACACTTCTCATAAGGACCCGTGTCCATTACTTATAAATGTGAAAACTGACTGTAGCTCACGTGTCAGCTGTAGGCTGGACTGGTCCAAGTGGTGGAGGGGAAATGACTGTGACACGACCTGTTTCCTGACATGGAAGAGATGCGTCGAAATTTGATGCGCGGCACAGTGACGAAGCGAGGGTGACCCTCGCGAATGGTGAAAAGGCCCCCTGAAAGAAATACCTAACCGCAAAGGACTCAGTCAGTGCTATGCGGGAAGGACGGCAAAACCGTCAGGATTGCGCGAACAACGTGCTATAAGGATTTTCTGGGCAGTATAGCAGCACTATGCTAGCCGCATGCCCTGGGGAGTTTTTACATGCGCTGGGCCCTAGAGACGTTGCAAACAGTGTTTGGGTAGCTTTTTATCCTGAATTTTAAAGACTTGGTGTAGGTAGTCTTAGGTTGCTGGCTTCAAATGCCAGGCCTCAGCTCACCGCTGCGCATGTTGCACATGGTGTTGTGGGTGCTTCTACATCTGGGCAGCTTGGTCGCGAATCAGCATCCTTGTGCATGCTACCAGGTCAGGGCGTGTGGTTTTCGATTGGACTGTTGTTCTGCGTTGCATGGCACGCCTGCCAAGGTCACTTTTTTTGTTGGTGGTCTGCTGCTGCTGGCCTTTGTGCCTCTTGCGAGCTTCTGTGCCTCTGCTGCAGAGAACACAGAGCTGGTCAGTGGTCACAGTGGTCACTGGGGAAAGGCAGGCAATCTTCCTCACTCGTTAAGGCTTGATACTCGACGACTTCAGTGGGCAAACCTTGAAGGACTGCAACCATGGAGTGCGGCGCATTGACGCCGCCAGGCCTGAGCAGCACCCCTTTCAGTATCAAAAGCAGAGGACCTGTCTGGGCCCTTCGGCCTTGATCTGACGACGCCAGACACAGAAATCGTGACGCTTGGATAGTCAGATGCTCACGCTTTTGCTGTTCACGAGCTTTGGCATGTGCATAGCCCCAGCTAGGCCCATTCGGATGGATAGCAGTGTAGGAACATGCAGCTAAATAGCACGTAAAACTCTGCAGTGCTTTGCTCGTGCGGGGGTGGCCAACAGCTCTGCAAGCCAAGGGAGCTTGCAGCTGCATGGCATGTCTGAATTGAGGCTGAGCATGGTGGACCAATGCTTCAAGAGACCCAGCGAAAGTTCCACGAGTGTTGCCTTACTGGATATAATTACCGTGGAGTCCTCCAATGGCACCAAAGAGACAATGAGGACCTGAGTGCAGACACGTGCATTCACAGAGTCCGTCGAGTCCTGAAGTCCCCTTTGCAGGAAGCAGGTGGTGGGTGGGGTTACAGATCAGATCACTGCGCAGTTCAGCGGCCTTTCTGGCACCAATCCGGTGTCAATCCGCTCAGCTGAAACTGTTCAGATGCTATTGCAGACCATCAAAAACTTCAGTATGGACGCCATGATGCTCCCGGACCCGCAAATTGCAAGGGAGGCCACATATCAGGACATGGCCTTGAACGAGACTTTGCGCAAGTTTTTCGTTTCCTCTGGATCATGCGATGACTTTACGTGGCAAGGAAACTCCACCTTCGGCCCCCCGTTCCAACACGCACATGCTGAGTTTTGGTGACGTCAAATCCGTTTCCTTGTCGTAAGACGGACGGTTATGATCCAGCTACGCGAGCTTTGCTCACAGACTCCAGGCATATCTTCCTTCAGTGACGCGCTGGAAAACTTTGGAATCTTGGTCGATGGTAAGTCCAGGGGAGATCAGTAGAAAGTTTGCTCAGAACTCATGTTGACTGTGTTGACCTGCAAGATATCGCAGTTCTTGGGAAGGTTTTGCTTCTTGGCCTAGGCATACAGATTCCACACACAAGCTGCGCGCAACTTGTGGTCTGCATCGGCCACTTGTCTCCTTTTGTTTGAATAGGACATGCGGCAACAGGAGAGGAGATGAGATGGCAAGCGAATACATCCAGATTGCCATGTGGTCGGGTTGGGAGCGTCAGTGAACCGTGTCTGAGGAGACGGCACAGAAAAAGCTGCATGCGAAGCAGCCAACAGTGTCTCTGCTGCAGGGATATCCATTGGGCTTGCCAAACGACTTCCCACGAATCTGTTTTACTTGGCTTTCCGGTTGCACTTGAATTGCAGGCTTCATGCTGTTAAAGCAGGGCCTGAGAACCGACTCACGGATGGCAATGGCATGACTTTTTTGTCTGTGTTTCGTGGTCTGGTTGGACAGAAGCAGCGCGGCGGTCAATGATGAGGTGAGCACCTTCAAGTGCAAGACTTTTCAGGATGACAATGGCCGTTGCACCCTTACCAACATGGTGCACGCGGGCAATGGAGAGTATGAAAATGATTGCTCGGCTCTCAGTGGTGGGGCAGGTTATTGTCCATTCGCATTCTCAAGTTGAGCATCGGCTTAAGGTTTCCGCAGCGATGGCACCCTCAAAGAGAATGAGTATGACTGTACGCTTGAAGAGTTTACAGAATTAGTGACGAGCTATTCAAGGCAGCTGGATCTTGCATTCGAGCGGCTTGACACAGTCACACCGCTGGTTCTGGAAGACATTGCCACGAACCTTTTCAATTTGGTGAAGACGAATGTGATTGACAAGATAGTCTGGATAGCAGATGGTGTTACCTGTGAATGGATGGGTGCCGCCTTTTTCACATTTCATGACGGACTTTGCTTTCGAGGAGTGTGGGGTTTTTCTGCGATTGCCGCCTCATATGTGGCATGTGCCGTGCTCACGCTTCTTCTAGTCATCGTTATGCAGCTTGGATTCCAGGCTGCTTTTCCACCTGTACCGCTTCTCTTAAGAGGTGAATTAGCAGGCAGGTGTTGCCAGAATTATGCCGAGCTGATGTATCTTGTTGTAAGGTTTCCGTGCCTGTGTTACAAGCAAAATCTTCTGTGGTGAGTGACAGTCTAGCTTTGCTACAACTCTGTGCTGTCATTCATGCCTTCCGAGGTATATGATATGGCGCTTCACGCTTGACACGTATGCAGCGCGGCTTTATGGAGGCATGTGTTGTTTGGTTGTCTTCCAAAATATTTTATTGGTATGCTGCTGAGGAACTAAACAAGAAGGACAATGCTCCAGGCCAATCATATTCAAACATCACGGTGGAGGGCCAGCCGCTGACCGGCGTTGAAAAGGAGTGATTCAGGGCAGGGGTATGGTAGGTAGGATCGCCAAGTGATCACTACAGATTTCAAAAGCCCAAATGCAGAGACTGCCAGCTAAAGCTGAGCCTCTTCATACACAATGGCATTTGGTTGGCGGCACACAGGATGAGAAGGTAAAGGTTACTATAGGTGGTATTAGTGGAGCCGGCAAAGCAGACAGACTCTGCCTCTGCGCATCCTCCGCATGCCACGGCATGCATGCTGCGCCCGACTGCTGCCACCACACCCTGAACCCTGAACAGTCCTGAATAAATTGGGTCGGCAGGTATTACAAGATCACCTTATCGCTCCCCAAAGTAAGCTACATGATACATGCAAAGTTCAAGGCCCCCAGGGTAGCCTGTTTGGCAGCGCTTGTCCCTCAGCCCTGCATTGGTAGGGTGTTCATTAAGCCGTGGTCTTCAGTAGTGTCTGGGCTGCTTTTCCATCTGCGGCACCTTTCACTCACACAGTTAATGAGCTTGTGCAGGCAGTATCAGAAAGCCGTGCCGCGCAAGGGGCTGGCAGGGTTTTTGAGTACATTGGAACGACGGCCTTGGATCCAAGTCTGACATCTGAGGTTTCAGCGTGCATTTAAGAAGTCTTTCAACTTGAAATTGGATCTGGGGTGCACGGAAGCCTGTCACGAGGTTGTCGCCTTGGCGCGGCCAAAAAAAGCAGCCGTTGACTGCCTGATATAACTGACCAGCGGCTGCAATTGACAATCAGACGCGACATGTGCTATGTTTGGGAGGTCCACGTCCAAAGACTTGTTGAATGAGGCTGCGGGTCATGCTGTCCACCAGCTGCAGCTAGACCTAATTTGTCGGACCACTGAAGAGACTTTAAAGCGACCCACAGATAGTTCTCTAGCGGTTGGCTTGGCCATGCTTCCTTGTGCGCATTTGGCTGCAGACCCATCTTGCATGGTGCTTCATCTTAGGAGCAAGCACCTGCGACGATGGACAGATGCTGCCCTAGCTGGCTGGTGCCTGCTGGCAGACACTTTAATATCTCTCGGCCTTTTTGCACCCTGGTTGGACAGTTGTTTTGCTTTATTTTCATGTATGCCTGAAGAGCATTGTAATTGAAAAGGGGTGCCGCAGCCGAGCCCAGGGATGTGGAGATTTCGCTAATTGCTTCAGTTGTGTCACGGTGGATTCCTCAAGCTCAACACGAGCTTTTGGCATTTGCTAGTCAGTAACGTTTCACCAAGTCAGCGACTTGGCATCTGCTACTTGCGACATGATATCAAAAGCTATCACCAAGTGTTTCTGGCTAGGTGCTTCTGAGACATAAGCAGTTCACTTGCTCCGCGTCAGCAATTGCATGCAGTGCGCAGAGGTGACAAGCATCTGCTTGTAGCAGGAAGACGACTTTTGTTTCTTGCAAGCCCACTACATGCTAATGAGTTCTGTTGTTTTGTTCTGTTTTGGCTCTGGCGCCTTCAAGTGCCGGCGGCCTGGCTTGGGCTAGAACTTGGGCACGCAGGCATGGCAGCGGAGTCCCGCAATAGCTGTTCTGTTGTCAGGTACGGTAAGATACCGACAGCATCTGCAGACGGTCTTGTTTTGCATGTGTCGCCACCTGATGGAAAGCACGTGGATTAGAAAGCACTTGGGTGATCGCTTGTTGTTATGCAGGCTGTACCATGTATGTTGGGGATGGCTGCGAGTCAATTGCGAAGGTGGAGATTTTGAAGCTTTCACCGTGGCATGCCTGTCTCAGCCGCTCCAGCAGACATCAAGGTGTGGCGGAGACAGGAACATGCTGGGAGGGGTGGCGCGAGAGCCTATCATGTGCTTGGTGGCATATTGCACGATGTTCGCCGCTTACGGAAGGTATATGTTTAAGGGCGTTCCTGAATTCACAGATCCATGTTGCATTCTCGGCACCGGGCCTTGTTTGACTCAATGCATGTGTGGAGGGAGTGCGAAGGTGCTAGACTGCTAGACATGATGAAGCTTGAAAGAGGCCCGGACTTCCCGGCCTCGTTCTGCAGCTGCAGCACCTCTGAAAGGTGCAGAAGCAAAGCGGAATCAAAGAGTGTTTAGCATTGGCAGGTTGACTGAATATGCTTTTCCTGAAGTGCCGGTAACTCCTTGGCCTCAACGGGGTGGCAGATTACAGTGCCAATTTGTGCTAGAAAGTGTTGAAAGTGTTACCCTGCTTGGGACCTGCGCTTGACCGGCACAATGTTGCAACTGCAAGTCATTAATCTTTGGTGTTGGGGAACTTGACCGTGCTTACTGCTTTGCTGTTGGATCTTCGTGCAGTGTCAAGTGAGTGTTGAGGCTAGCCTTTCGAACCAGACTTGCGGAAAAGTCTGCGCAGATTACGTAAGTAGACAAGCCTGGCCTTAGGTGAAGTTGCAGCAGCTGTGGCCTCAAATGTTTTCGCCAAGCGTTAGCAATGGGGATGCGGTCTTAACAAGATCTGCAGGCATGCCCATCAATCCATTCCTTTGTCCGACTGGCTCAAGGCAAGTAAGTAGTGTCTCCATAGCATGTCTCTACAACATTAAAACTCATTAGCCAGACAGGCAGCGTGCCATTTGAGACCTAATCTGCAGAATGTCAAGGTGTCGCTGACTTGCGAGCTAGGACGAGTGGCTTTCAGGCACTCTCATGGCTTGAGGACCTTGCGTCAGACAGACAACAGGGAAGGCCATGCCGAAACGATGGCGCCCGCCTGCCCCAACACCCCCCAAACCAAGGATGGACAAGGCAGGGGCAGGGCGCTCCTAATTTGCAGGTTTGGCTTTTTCCGAAGCACTTAGTTTGTAGGATGTTGCCGGATTTGACTTGACCCCGCTACCCCACAGACTGCGTCGGAGTACGTGGCCGAGATGAAGGAACAAGAGGAGGCCAGGTTTGCAAAATTGTACTGGCATCGCCGCGGTCAAAGCAAACCTTGGCAGGCTGAAAGGCTGAAGAAGAAGGGAAGCACAAAGCTAGCAGAGTTTGAGAAGGAGCCATAGAGACATTTTTGTTGCCAGTAGTCTCGTCACAGTTCTGGTGTAGGGTACTTTTGGACCATGCAGCAGACTGAGATTGTTGAGGAGTACGGCGATCCTGATAACACTGGTGGGGCCATAAAGACACCCAGTGAGCTGAGCTCTGTGGCCGGACCACTAGCGCAGCCCGGCTTGTACTTTGAGCCAGCTGTCCACTTGTTTGCTTGCTTGGGTCCCAGGCCACTTGCTGTTCGTACAGTTTGCCCAAACCAATTGCCGAGTGCCACAGGCCAAGGAAAGCCAAGAAGGAAAAAAAGAAGGAGAAAAAGAAGGATAAGAAAAAAGACAAGAAGAAGCCTAAGAAGAAGAAAAAAAATGATAAAAAGAAGAAAAGCAGTAGCAGCAGCAGCGACAGCAGCAGTAGCAGCGATGCGAAAGCAAAAGGCAAGCTGTCAAAGAAAAAGAAGAAGGACTGAATGCCCTCGTCAGCATTGGCCATAGCGCAGTTGTTGGGCATTCGTGGGCAGCAATATCCTTTGGCGGCTTCCGCGCACAACACCAAATTAGAGTTATGCCATGGGACGGTTAAATGTCATGCAATGCGTGTCAACAGTTTGCAGGAAGCCGTGACGGCCGAAACTGGTTGGAAAATATCAAGCTTCCTGAAGGTGCAGCCATCGTGGCAAGCAATCTGCCTCTGCTGTTCCTTTTGTTGTATGGAACCCTAGAGTTGTTCTGCTAGAATATCTCCCTTTCACACGGACATAGTAACCCAGCAGCGATTGAGTAGGATTTTATTTGGGGATAACCATGGTACCCAAAATAGAGTAAGATTATGTCCTCCTTTTGGCGTATATTATTTTATACAAGGAATATAATCTTATTGGGTTTCACCACCAAACAAAAAGGCTACTCAATTGTTGACAGGTTGGTTCCGTGACACAATTCGTGACCCGTAGTCCCATAGTCCTTCAAAGTGGTCCTCCTTTGCAGGCCAGCGAATCCGACAGCTGACCCGATGCAAGCAAGCTGGGCATTTGGCCGATCGCGAAATTCATTGTGGTGTACCATTGGTTCGTATACAAATATTTGCTGAAGTTGCGCAGCCAGCAAGCGGTAATTCTCCCCAATCTAGGTTCCACTAGAAACTGCGAATGATTTTTTGCGAGAAGCCAATTCTGCTCGGGCGTGGGGCCGAGGAGCCAGGTGCTGCCGTGGCAAAAAGGACCTGACCTGCTGCACTGCAAGGATTGTTTCATGGCCGTATCGTCAAGATCAGTGACCGTTTTGCCTAGGCACCGCGAACATCTCGATGGCCAGTGGAACGCAGCCAATGTCTCAGCAAAGGGGTGGGGAGTGCAGCTTGAGATGCTTTGAGAATCTTTGAGAGAGCTTGCAACACGGCAATGCGATGCAGGCCCAGCCGGACCGAAGACTTGTCGTGGCGAAACCAAGAGGCAAGGAATAAAACCTTCTTCATACAGACTCGTAGGATTGTCTCGCAAATGACATGGCCGTGCGGCCGGCACATGTTTTCTGCGTGGCCACAGCTGCAAGGCCGCTTCCGATCTCACCCCGCTGGCCACTACCTACAAAAATTCCAAGCCCTGCTGCAAAGGCACGGATCTGGTTGGTTCCAGGAAGTCAGATGGGCATGATTCTGTTTAACATTGCTGCTTAAAGCAAAAATGCAAAGGCCGGCAATTAGAATTAGAAAAAACAATCTGTTCTGATTTTTTCTGGATGATTCTGGGCTGTTCGAATCGGCTTTCAATGAATCAGGTCCTATTCGATTCATGTGTTTGTGCAAACCAAATCGACTTGTGCTCAAGCTTCTGATGTAGATAACCGCTTGCAGAATTTTCTTGTCTTAAGTCTTAAGGTCTTAAGCTTCAAGCAAGGCATAGTTTCAGGTCTTGCAGGGGCTGAATATATGCAATGCGCAAAGCACAATGTGCAATGCCTCGGTAGATCGGCAGTGCAGGTGCCCGAAATCAACTGACACATTTTGAAAGGGTTTTTGCTTCTGTTGATAACTTCCGGATTAGCTAAACTGCCTGGGGAACATTCTGCCCAGTTGTGATAGTTTGGCAAAACAAGGAAGTATGATGGTGTTGTGCTTAAACCTGGCGTCACAAATCTACAGCCTCCGTTCCTCCAAGCATCTTGCATCAGAGAATAAACAAACCGATGGACGGCGGGTTCAGAAGCGAGGTGTGCACAAGCCCAGTTTTGCTGGCATCTTAGAGTCTTCAGCTGTGGAGCACCAATTTCCAAAGCCCTTTTCGGGAAGTGCATGGTGGTCAGGGCACGCTAAATGTTTTTCTTTTGTTTGCTGAGGCCAGTGGCGGGAGCGCTGCAGAGGAGGTGTGAAGATGCGGCCAACGGCTGAGCAAGCGAAGGTTGAAATCAGCTTGGCGCTGAATGCTCAGCAGCCGCATTGAATTGCTTCACTTGAGGTGCACAAGCTAGAGCGCTTGCGAGCACTTGATGATGCTATTCTGAGCGAGGCTCCACAGTTTGCGTGAGATTTTGGGAGTTCTCCTGCCCAGCCGCATGATGCCCAAGAGCCTTAAAGCCAACATTCCATGCTTTCAGGCGAGGCCACGGCCCGGCATCCTGAGTCAGCCACGGCGTCGGTCTGAGGTGCAGCCTTTGAATTTTACCCATCTCCGAGATTGCAGGGCTAAGCTATGGCCTCCAGCTTCTCAAAAAGAGAGGTAGCTGCTGGCGGCTCACTAGCCAAGGCATTGGACTTTCTAAAGATCATGGTCAGCATCCCGTGCCAGGACCTCGCCGCCGCATATGTAGCCGCCGCACGAGGC